CTGCCAGCACCGGAGGAGTATGCCAAGGCGCTCCAGATTGCATCTCGGAAGGCGGTCGAGGAGGCCGGGGTGAAGGCTGCCAAGGTCATGGGCAAGTCCAAGCCTTTCGATGCCAACGGCAAGCATGTCGCCCTTGACTGGTGAGGCCCTCGCGCTGAGAGGCAAAACATCCGTACCTTCATTTCGCAGGCTCGGCTTCAGACAGCAAATGATGCAAAGTCTGGTCGAAACAGAGGCAACTCTACGGTCAGTCTATGCAGCGAGTGGTTGCCGTGTTCGAGTGCACGCATTGAAAGCAAGCAACACCACACTGACTTACATTTTGTAGCTGCCTATGTCAGCACAGCTGCTGCAAGCTTCAAATGAAGCTCTTCGTCGCATGCTGTAGCATCCTGATGAATGGGCTTGAGCGGAGCTCAGTCCACCTTCAGTGTTAATTTTGCCCTGTGTATAGCTTGCCTCGGCATCAGTCTGACGCATCAAGCAACTGACAGACCAAACATCAGATGCCAAAACGGTTGAACCGCACGGATGGCGGCTGATTCGAGCCCCAGTGTGAAGCCCCGCTGTTGCCCCTTCTGCTAGAATGCCCTCTGTCCAGCCTTTGCCTATCTCCGTGTATACACGACCGGTAGATAGAGCGTTAGCGCAACATAGCAGAACATAATACGACAGCACCGGCTATCAAGTAGCATAGTTTGTTGTTTTCCATAGCACAGATTCTTGTCATTCTGATTAGCATATGATGCACATCTTTCATGAGCAATTCCCTGAACCCTACGCCCGAAACGTATTCGGCAGTCGGAAAAAGGTGTCAAACAACACGTATTCTGCAAGGCTTGAGAACTGAAGATCTGGATCGTGGGCGGCTCACTCCCAGAGCTGCACGTGGCTCGCTTGCAGTTCCCGTTCAGAAGGGATGCACCTCAGAGCTCCGACTGCTCTTCGAAGAGGTTGCAAAGCATCGGAAAGCGCACCTCTTCGACATAGATGTGTCTGCGACTGCATCGCGGATGCGACCTCAGTTGGCCGGAAGTCTGAAGTGACACAGAACGAACACGGGTGAGGAATGCAGTGCAGTGACAAGGCCCGCCATGAAGTTCATGGAGCTTTGAGCTCTTCGTCTTCAGTCTGTGTGTGAAGAAAGCTCCACATGAGCTCCCGACGCATGAGCAAGAAGTTGGAGATGCATTCTCCATGAGAGTTTCTTGTCGCCCAAGGCTTGTGGGATGGGAAGAGTTGGGGGTGGGTCAGGACTCAAGGAGCAGGGGCCCTTTCTTGCCATAGCTCAGGTTCAGCTGCCCCGACGAAATACTTCCACGTGTGTGGCCAGCGGCTGCCCTTGCCAGGCCGATTCGAGACATACCCCAAACTCTAGACCTGTTTGCTGTGGGCCTGCGATGAACGAGCACACAATCTCTTCATAAATCCTGGCTACGGCTCAAGGTAAGGTGTGGACATAGACCTAAAGTTGCTGAGGCTGAGCGTAGTCGCCTCTTTGAGCACGGGGCTTGCGACTATGGCAGGCAAGAAGGTCGTTGTGGTTGGACATGGCCCCATTGGTCATGCCTTCATTGAGAAACTGGCTGAGAGGGAGGCCGGGTTCGAAATCACAGTGGTTTGCGAGGAGCCTCGTCCAGCATACAATCGCGTCATGCTGACACAGTACTTCTTGGACTGCGATGGCGACAAGCATGACCAAATGAAGTTGTCGTATTGGAGCGAGGAGGACTTGAAGAGCAAGAATGTGAAGCTTGTCTATGGTCGTGCAACCAGTATTGACCGTGACAACAAGTCCGTTTCATACTCCAAGGTCAGCCACGGTGGAAGCTCTGTCGATGAAGATACAGACTCATTGCAGTACGACATCCTGGTGCTTTGCACTGGCAGCTTCTGCTTCGTTCCACCAACTCCCGGCTTCGTTTTGCCAGAGAAGAAGAACCCCCAGTGGCCGGATGACCCAGCTTCTCGCCCTGAAGGTGTCTTCGTGTACAGGACGATCGAAGATCTTGAAGCACTCATCGCTGCAGCAAAGAACTCCAAGCGAGCAGCTGTGATTGGAGGCGGTCTCTTGGGCCTCGAGGCTGCAAAGGCTGTGTATGATCTCGAGATGGAAAGCCACGTCGTGGAGATGGCCCCGTACCTCATGCCTACGCAGCTCAACCAGGAAGGTGGCAAAGCTTTGGAGAGGAAGATAAGCAGCCTTGGCATCCATGTGCACAGTGGAGCCAAGATCCAAGAGGCTGTCCTGGATGGTGGCAAGGTCAAGGGCTTGAAATTCATTCCCAATGGCGAAACCGAGCCCATCGTTTTGGACGTGGACATGGTTGTCGTCTCTTGTGGAGTTCGCCCCCGAGATGAATT